TCTCTTCTGAAACCTCTCACTCCTTCTTTTCTTAGCCAATTATATAGCCACAAAATGGTACTATCATTATTTATGTTGCAACTTTGAACATGCTTCTGCATGATTAGATTCTTCTGCTCCAGACCCTTGCTCTTCTCTACCTACCATAAACAACTTCTATCAACACTTAATTCTCCATTTGGTTATATAACTTACACCATTGTTTTTGGATGTTGTCTCTTTCCATCCCAAATTGCACTTTTATAATGGTAGGAATAGGACTCGATCAACATTGGCACTGCTGTAAAGAGAACACCTCCATCCTTTTGCAAACTATTTAATAATTCAAATTGCTTTGGTTTTGTTTGAACAGGCTATTTAAGCAGAGAAATTTATTGAGAAAGGAGATCACAACATTTTTATTCACTTTTGGTGCGTTAGGGTTTATATTCAGTTGCTGTATATTTACAAAAGAGCATTGAATTCCTCATTTACTGAATTAACACTGCATATCTTTTGTATAGAAGAAAGTTAATATAGTTATTGAGCCTATACTGAAAAAAAAATAAACTATAGAACTAATACATACAGATCAATAGCACGACATAAGATTTCATTCATAAATAATCCTGTATATTTTGAATTGTACATACATATAATGATAAATATAATTCTGATTTGCCATTATTTTACTACCATATTCTACCATCTTGGAGATTGTAATACATTGTATGAATTATTTCTCTCCAAATATTAACAGTCATCAGCTGGTTACCATTTTGCAGCCAGATTTCTGCACCATTTTTCTTTTCTCGAAGTCACGTATGCTGTTTTCTTGAAGTGATTGAACGATAAATGATAAAAGTCACCTTGGGTTATAAATTGGGTACTTCCATGTTTTGAGATACAATCTCTGTGTGTCTCTTTCATACACATATACATATATTTTAATAATCTAAGGAAATCTAAAATTTGGGAATTGTAATCTATTTGGCAAATTGAAGACAGATAATTGATATGCAAAGAAACTTTGAAATGTATGTAGTCTTTATGAATGCATGTTTCCCAGTCAAATGTAATGAATATAATTATTTAACATCACTGGCTTGTTTGTTTATCTATTTGAGATTTATCTTGAGATATATTGTCTCAAGAAAAACAAAAAAAACTGAAAATCAATAGTTAGAATAAAATAATAATAAAAAGAGCTATATAAATATTTGTAGAGCTGGAAAACAAGTACTCTTAATAAACTAAACAAGTACTCTTAATAAACTAAATTTGCATTATTATATTTATAATAGGAAATTCAGCACGTTTTGTTTTATGAAGTATAGCTGTCTATACTTCATAACTTGCCTGGAATGCCCATTAAAAATTCCTAATATCACTTAATGCTATTTTATTTTGTAATATCTCAGTATTCATTTAAAAGACATTTAAATTTCACCACATTTAATATATTTATTATTTAATCAAAGATCTTTAGAATTCATTATATATGTGAATAGCTGGTGCTTTAATTTTATAGCAAGTAATGTTAGAACAGAAAGAAGCATTGTTATTTTATAGCAAGTAATGATAAATACACTATTATTTTATACCTATTTAAAAGACTTAATAAAAAAGCAAATACTGTAACTTGGCACACATCATTTCCCATTGTCAAAATACGAGTTTTTTATTATTATCGCTTGAACATTCAGCCAGATGTTTAGACTGGATTGGGCAATTTTATCTACCTATCAATTCTTTTCCAAGCCCTGGGATAGGGAGATGTTGTAGACCGGGGTTGTCAAACTGCTGGCCCACGTTATACCGAAACCGCGCCCAGCCCATTGCCGGCAATGGAAAAAAAGTCATACTATGTCGCGACATGGGATGTGACATTGCGAGTTTGACACTCCTGTTGTAGACAGACACCGGTGTAGTAACTTTGCAATATTTCAGGCAGAGATGTCTCAGGTTACTTATTATGCTTGGTTCATCATATACATTTTGATAGAGAATTCAAGGAGTTTTGAGCAGTTCCTCTCCAAGTATGGTATGACTTGTGGCTTTTTTAGGTAAAGAAGCAATTTCACATGAGCTGGAACACTTCAAATTACCCCTTGGCAAGTTTTGAATTATATATAGAAATTGATTACATAGACAGGATTTGTCTCTTCCTACAATTGACAAATTACTGGTACCTTCTGCATTCAAAAGATGTGGATTGAACTTCTGCGTAACAGTTTATTCTTAAATCTTCTGAATTGTGTATGTAGGAACATATGTGATTTACAGAGATTCTCCGTGCAAGTCAAGGAATAATAGTATTGTCCTGCTCATCGCTGAATATTTGATACTGAGAAATATGCTATTCTTGTGAGTAGAGGTGCTGCATATTTATCATGATATGTAGATATTGATATTCTTTTCCCCCTTGATTTTGTTTAATCACTTGTTAAAACTTAAGCAACCATTACTGGATACTCAAATGATAAATTCCATACTTTAATTGATAATTTTGTCCATGCTGAACCATTACTTGATTTATAACTAGAAATATTATAAACATCATGGTTTCTTATTTATTTAGTCTTTTTAAAAGCTAAAAAGGCTTGAAGATTATAACTTTTTGTGTATAAAAGTTTTTTAAGCCTTCAAATAATTTTGGTTGTCCTTTCCTGCATGTGTTCCAGCTGTTCTCTGTTCTTTTTGGAAGGTAATATTCAGAACTTAATTCTCATCCAGGGGTGTTTCAGTTCTAGTCTGAGGATTGTTGCTTTGTAGGTTTGTACAAAAGTTATACTACTGATTTTGTTTTCAGCAACTTTCCAACATGGACTTTGCCTTTTTTTTTTACAGCATCTAGATATTTTATCAAAATACGTCCAACTCCCAGATCACTAGTCAGTAATGATAGGGCCACAGTGAAATTAAAATTATATGTCCCGAATAGCATTTCTTTCTATTCTAGCATTTTTCAACCTTGACAATTTTAAATTCAGTTCCCAGAAATCCCCAATAAATATGCTGGTTGGAAAATTCTGGGAGTTGAGGTCTACATGGCTTAAAGTTGCCAAGGTAGAGAAACACTGCTTTTATTCCATTAAACAGATTTTTTTAGTTTTAGCCCTTCTATTTTTCCTTTTTAGATGAGTTGTTCTGACAGTATTAATATTATACAAGTAAGCTGTACTAATAACCTTGGCCATCCTACTGTCACATTTTTCTTCCCAATCAACTATAATCTGCTATTTAAAAAAAATGATAGTGCAGATGCAATATTCCATTAAACTTACTCATTGCACTCTTCTGTTGTAGGAGCAATTTGTTTAGTCTTGTTTTCTGTTTTTTTTAAACAAGTTCTGTATACTGATTTGTACTTGAAGTTGCATTACAAAAACAAAACATTGTAATGTGCAAGAATGCTTTGCTGTGCTATCTGATCTGAAGAAAATCATTTGGAATTTCTCTATACGGAATAGTCTGGAAACAGCTAATATAAACCAGGTGTCCATGTGTGCTGAGGATGCATATAGGATGCATTATTTGGGCTCTTCCCTTTGCTTTTTGGGGATCCTTCATGAATACAGTTCCTGTGCAGGGAAACTGTTTTTTACATTTTGTTTATATCTATTTCAAAACAAGTCATAAAATCCAACTGAAATTCTGCTTTGCAGATAATCAGATAGCAATCTTTATAGAAACCAGTCAGCAATATTTATATAGTTTATCACTGGTTGAGAATAAAGAAATGTTCTATTGGTATTTTTGTTTATTTATTCAAACAAATAAGAAGCATTATGGCAGCAAGAAGTTAATTTAGCCATGAAAAGGTTACTTCTTTGGCTTCATTACATGTCATTTATAATAATGAAACATGAAAGGATTTTAATTTGTAATAAGATAATCAGTCATGGCTAATCATGGTTTATGACAACACTGTTGTTCTGTATTACTTTACTGAGAGTTGAAATGGAATATTTTAAAGCTGAAGATCAAGATGACATTATAAAGGGAATCAAACCATTTCTTTGAAGGAAAAGTTAACGTTCTTCCTGAGAGTTTAATATATTTCTGTAAGCATCGTTAAAATTAACTTGAATTGCTATTGCAATTTTAAATGATAAATTAGCCTTACTATCACTTTAATACCAATGCAGTTACATAGTAAATGACACCTAATAGAACTTGCAGTGTGTATATATATTACAGTTGTTTAATTACAATTATATTATACTGGCTTAAACAAATTTTCTGCCTAGACTGGAATTATGTCTTCTCATAGCAGTCACTGAATACTAATAGACAATAGACATTTTATTTTTAGCTAAAGCTTGTTTCACTCTGCCTGCTTACTCAAACGATAACACCGCTTTAGGAAAGCCAGAAGCCATATACTGTAAATCATGTATACAGTATAAGCTTGGAACTATGTAACTGTAATATTTTAAATCATTTAAATTAACCCTTGACTTACATTGTGAGAAACTGGTATCACAATTAAATGCATGCTTATACCTGAATAGAAGATCAGCAGTCCTTACTTTGCTTACTGTCTTAGTAAAAGGCATACTTTTCAGTGATGATGTGATGAAACGCATTTGCTTTAGCTCAGCCAGCAAATGAAGGGGTGGGGAAAGAGAAGGGTCTGTTGCTACAGTGGTGATATCACACACCATTGCTAACATGTGGTTGGCTATTTTATGTTTCAGATCACTGCTTGTAGTGGAACACAAAGAAACCGCAGAGACTTCCGCATCCTTCAGTGAGAAGAAAGAAACCAACAGAGCAAGATTAATACTGGCTTGTTTGTACAAAAGCTGCCTGGGGAGGGGGGGTGGAGGGCAGAAAAGAAGGAAACGTCCCTGATACTTAACAAGCTGTGAAATGAAGCACTGCTGCTTCTTCTGCTAGCCTTCAGATCCCGAGGTTCATCTGCTATTCATTGTGCTTAATATACATGTTTCTGCACCGTGCATTTAGAAGATCCCAGAAAGGAATTCAAAACGGCTGCGGGGGAAAAGCCACAAAACATGCCTACAGAAACACTACAGACAGGTAGCATGGTCAAACCTGTCAGTCCTGCCATCACTTTCACTTCAGCTGTTCCTCTCCGCATTTTAAACAAAGGACCTGATTATTTTCGCAGGCAAACGGAGCCTAATCCAAAAAGACTTAGCGCCGTGGAGAGGCTGGAAGCTGACAAGGCAAAATATGTGAAAAGCCAAGAAGTCATCAACGCCAAACAAGAACCCGTGAAGCCAGCAGTGCTTCCAAAGCCGCCAGTGTGCCCTGCAGCTAAGCGAGCCTTGGGCAGCCCTACCTTGAAAGTATTTAGCAACAATGCAAAGACTGAGAGTGGTGTCCAGAGAGAGAACCTGAAGTTGGAAATTTTGAAGAATATTATAAACAGTTCAGAGGGCTCCAGTTCAGGTTCAGGTCACAAACACAGTTCGCGAAATTGGCCTCCCCACAAATCTGATACAGGAGACTTAAATCGTCACTCATTTGCAGAATCCCTAAAGGTTTATCCCACCCAAAGTTCTAACAGTCCTCAAGAAAGCAGCTCCAGTGTGAGTAGAAGGCTACTGGAACAATCGGCAGAATCTTTCTTGCATGTTTCACATAGTTCCTCAGACATTAGGAAAGTATCCAGTGGTAAACCTTTAAAAGCAATACCCTGCAGTAGTTCAGCTCCACCTCTGCCTCCAAAACCCAAAATTGCAACCATCACTACGTTGAAATCACCAGAGATGGACTCAGTGGAATCCACTTGTGGAGTAAGCAGACGACCTTCCCTTCAACGATCGAAGTCGGACTTAAGTGATAGATACTTTAGAGTTGATGCAGACGTTGAAAGGTTCTTTAACTACTGTGGACTTGATCCTGAAGAGCTTGAAAATCTTGGAATGGAAAATTTTGCAAGGGCTAACTCTGACATTATCTCTCTCAACTTTCGCAGTGCAAGTATGATCAGTTCAGACTGTGAACAGTCTCAGGACAGCAACAGTGACCTTAGGAATGACGACAGTGCCAATGACCGTGTGCCATATGGTATTTCTGCAATAGAAAGAAATGCCAGAATCATCAAGTGGTTATACAGCATCAAACAAGCTAGGGAGTCACAGAAAGTGTCCCATGTGTGAGTGGGTGTTGGAGAGGGGAGGGGGGAGGCAAAGAAAGACTAATTTGTGTATATTCAGTTGTGAAGGGTTGTGAAGTCTACTTGAAGTCTTAATACACTTCTCAGATCTCTTTTTATGTTCCTTGTTGTGCAATGTTTTCAAGTTGCATGCCTGTCAACATGTGAACTGACCTGGCTTCTACTTGAATAATAACTAGCTACAGAGCCTGGCTGAGCATACACACATTATCTGCCAAAGGTTTAAGACCAGAATCTAAATAGGGCTTTTGTTATTCAATAAATTGTTTACATTAAATGGTAATATGGTTTCTTTATAATAGATTGTAGTCTCTTGAACTTGTTTTTTTAAAAAATATATATATATATTTGGCCACTTTTGGTGTTTTAAGCACAACTTAATTTGCTTAAGAAAAGAAAGGGGGAGACATTTCATAAATAAAGTTATCATAAACCTTAGCTAGAACCGCATAGTAGTTTGTGGAAAAATGGATCAGATGAACTTTCTGTTACCTACAATGTATAATGCATCTTGTTTCATTTTTTTTCAAGCTATGTTCCATGGTTTTCTGTTTTAATATTCTAACCAGAGACCCCTTCATAAACACATTCTTCCTATGGTCTTTTTCCATATACTATAAGTAGCTAGGAAAGTGTTTCAAACTTTTTTAACTACTATTGTGGATTATGATGAAAAAAAGATCTGTCATATCTTAGTTTCCCTAATAAAGGGCAATTTGTTTTTGTTGTTGTTGTTGTTTTGGAAAGTAACTAAGATAGTGAATAATGAAAATGATTATGATGATGCCTTTAAAGGAAGGTTCCTTGTCTTAAACTTTTGACAGGAGTTGTTAAATCCTGTTTGCTTATCTTGAATGCCTTTAAATAGACAAAGCACATCATGATTACGAGCTCCTGCTGCTGACTACATTTTTGTAGACCTGTTTGAGCATTTCATGAATAGAAAATGGAAATACACAGCCATAGCAGTGTAAGAACTTCTTACCCAAAAATTAAACACACAATTTAGCTGAACTATATCTGAGAAAGTGTCATTATGTTGTCTTAACTATGTTATATCTTAAGGCTGTGGAAGTTTGTTACAGCTCTAGGAACTGTAGAAACATGACAGTATGTAGCTTTATTTTTGGTTGTCCCTTATTCCTGTCCCTCCAGTGTTCAGTGCTGCACGTCAATCTTTTTTTTTTTTACAAACTTGTGTCTTCCCAATGGTTTAACTGTCACATCAATGTGGCAGTTGTGGTGCATAGCAGAGAAGTTAAAAGTGCAGTGGTCTATTTCATTATTATTACTATTCTTATTATTCATGCTTTGAAGTACTTTGCAGCACTATCTTATACTTCGTCAGCTAATAGGAAACTTTTTAATGTGTAAATGCTGTAAGACTTTGTATATATTTCAGTTGTTACGAGATCTTTAAGAAAAGTGTTATGCTAATAAATAGCTATTGTTGCAGCAACTGCTCATGTGTTTTTCTATTCCTTTTAATTTGTGATGCAGTAATGGAGAGATAAAAGTTAGGGACTAAAATAAAATTACTGATTCAACATAGGATAAAATAGGATATTCCAGAGAAATGCTGTAGACAACAAATGAGAAGATTAATTATGGGAAGAAAGCTAACTTCTTTGGGATTCCCTTTCCCTTATCATGTAAGGTAGAAAACATATAATAAATAATTGATTTAGTATTCCAAAGCAATTTGTTTTTAAAACCCATATTGACAGAAAATTGATAGATTATCACTTTTAAAGAGACCCATGGTGGGCACAATTATGGTGGTATATCAAGTACTACCTTTATTAAGTACAATTCCTAGTCACTAAAAGTAGGGGTCCCCAACCCCCAGACCTCAGCCCACTACTGGGCCTTGAGCTGTTTGGAAGCAGGCTGTGGAAGTGGCAGCTGAGCATGTGCAACATGCATCCCCACTTGCACAAACAGTCGCCATGTATGTGCACACTTGCCTGCTGCTCGCATGGGACCATCCCCTCTCTCCTTCCCCCCCCCCCAGCCACAAAGCCGGAAAGGTTGACAACTCTGACTAAAACCATCCATGTTCTTTTACAGACAGCCTCCGACTCATGACAGTTCATTTTATGACCGTTTGAAGTTGCGACACTCCTCCTCAAAGCTACTTGCAACCCATTTTTGGAGTTACAATGGCTGCACACAAACATACAATCACAATCACAGATAACATTTTGGGTGCCTGGCAATCCTCACTTTTATGGCTGTTTGTAGCATCCTGCAGCCACATGACTTATGATTTGAAACATTTTTTTGCTGTTTTCCAGCATTTACTTTCAGTTTCTGGCAAAAAAAGGTCCATTGGGAGAAATAGATTCACTTAACCACTGTGCCGTTCACTTAATAACCAATGTAAAAAAGAATGGCTATAACTTCAAATCCATTCATGTGATGCCTCAACTTACAACCACAAGAATTTATTACCATAATTCTGGGCTCAATTTTGATTGCCTTCCAAATTTTTCAGTTTAAAAAGCAATCACCAATCATTTTCTTTCCAGTGGACAAGCCTGCCTTCTGGTGTGGTGGATGCTCCCTCACTGGAAGGTTTTCATACAACAGTAGGACAACTGTTGTCTGGGATGGTTTGAGGAAATTTTGTCCTGGACTGGAGGTTGGACTAGAAAATGTCAAAGCTTACTTCCAACCTTATGATTCTATTAGTTATATAATAGCCATTGTATTTAAATTGATGGCCTTAACTATCACCTTATTTTGGGGATTTTCCAACTCTGAGTTGGGACACTCCCAAGGTCACTAACCTAGAAGAGAAAATCACATTTTTTTTTTAAAAAAAGGATTGATTAGCCTTACAAGATCAGTAGAATTACTGTCAAAATTTATGTAAACCCAATAAGCAGTTGTACTGCAGAGTTTCCCTTCTAGACTGGGAAATGAATATTTCAGAGAGAGATTTGGAAATTGATATCTGTTCATTTCTTGCCTATTTTTATTGCAGATGAATAATTTATTGGTTAATTTATTTGTTCATTATAGGTAGTTGTTAGGACCACAACTGAGCCCAAAGTTTCCACTGCTAAGACAGACGATTGTTAAGTGAGTTGCACTCTGTTTTATGACCTTTTTTGTCACAGTTGTTAAGCAAATTACTGCAGTTGTTAGAGGAATCATGAGCTTATTAAGCAAATATGGCTTCCCTATAGACTTTCCATGTCAGAAACCAGCTGGGAAGGTTACAAATTGTGATCACATCACTCCAGGACCGTGCAAGAGCCTGTTGCCAAGCTGCCACATGCTGCAATAGTCATAAGTGTGAAAACTGGTCATAGGTCACTTTTTTCAGGACCGTTTAACTTTGAACGGTCACTAAATGAATAGTTGTAAGTTGGGGACCATCTGTAATTGAATCATTGGAGTGTATTCTAACTGCATACTGCCACAGGTTCTTAGGAAATACAGTGGTCTAATTAAGCACATAGCAAATGCATACATTCATACATA